GGGAAGATGATTCGCAACTCTCAGGTTGGTCATATACAACCAACTGTTATAAACAATAGCTCATTCCTCTTCTCTTTCTCTCTCGTAAGGTATTGATGAAAAAGCAGTGAACTGGATTGAAGTGTTGTTCGTAGATTTGGAGTTGATAATAGACCCTTTATTTGATTGTTTCTCTATCTTGCGTTTGTTGCTCAAATCCGCAGCGGAATTTTAGTTTCACTCCAATGTGTTGCCCCTCGTCTCATTGCTCAAACACAGACACCCAAAGCAATTATTCTAAAATCTCACAACTAAATCAACTCAAAATCAAGTTTGGAAAAGAGTACTGATAGAGACAGGAAGCCCTAATAATCGAGCAATCCCCAATCACAGAGGCAAGTGGGCAGCGGCGACGAAGGATAGAGTTTATGAAGAAGAAAGTAACCCTAATTTGAACAAAAAACCAAAACTTGCGGTTATTTTTATAATATTCAATAGAACCTTCTAGATAGTTCAAATTATTTTTTTTGTTATTAAAAAATATGTATTTTTATATATTTATTATACATATTCTACACTCTTCTAAACCTTATAATTACATAATGTTCTGGTTGAGTAACTTTTTGTTTTTTTTTTAAATAATATTCACCAAAATTTCATACATAGTTAATTTTTTTTAAAAAAAAATTATATATCTTTTATTTTATATAGCTTTCTAGATGGTTGAATTTTTAATTTTTATATACTATCTCTTTTATTTATGTATATTAATTAATTATAGACTTTCTTAATCTTTTCTGTCACTTGTGTCTTTAAAATATATTTTACTATTATTGTTATATATTTATAGTATAAAAATAATAATCTTAATTTATACGAAATTAAGCAAGTAATGAAATTCAACCCAACTTAAAGATTACACAGATTCCAATATATTCAAATTTTAGACAATTACTAGAAAAAGAAGGGTTTATCACCAATAATATCATTCTCCTCATCTAATTATGCCCGCTGCTTTTTTGTAATCTCATTAACATTAATAATAGAATTTGGCTCGATAGAACTTGAAGTAGCGTCTTTTGATTTAGAACTTTTTGGAAGAAAATATCTTTTCATTTTGCCATAAATAATAATAAAAAAAGGGCATAACAAATAAAATTCATATTTAAACTAATAAATACAAACTATATAATTTTAGAAAAATATAAATCCTGAAAATATACTTACAAATTCACACCCAACAAGAGACACGAGAAGTCTGAAACAAAAATCAAAGATTGTAGCATTAGACAAACTGCAAAACTAAAAATTAGAGTTAAATAGTAAAATAGTGTATTTAGGTTAAAATAAAATATAATTATCTAAATAGAAATTTTTTTTTTTTCATACAAATACAAATATAAGTGATACGCAGTGGCTTCAAGCTTCAATCATTTTCCTCATGCCGATTTTCCGATCCAAATGGCCAAGAATAGAAAAAAAAGTAAAAATGTGAAGGGAAAACTGAGTCTGGAGGGAGGACGAAGTGATAGAAAAAAAATTGAATTGAGGAGAAGGGGGTTTAGGAGTCTGCGTAAACACAACAATATTTATTATATATTTTTTTATAAATAATAATATAATAATTTTATTTATAGATATATGAATTTAAAAAGTAATTTCTTTGGTTAAACCCATAAATGATGAGGATAGAGATAGACCAATAGGATTTAGGGTACTGGCACATACTTTTTAATTTTTTCTTTTTATTTTGTTTTTATTTTGTATTTCTTTTTGTAGAGTTTTCTTTTTCAACTCCATTAGATGCAGGCAGCAGCCAACGAAATTTGAAAGGGGGGGGGGGGCAAATGTTAGAAAAAAATTTAAATCTTTTTTTCGGGGTGGCGACGGTCCCTTGGTGCCTCCGCCGCTGCCTCCCACTGGAGCTGCTTCCTCCTGCACCAGTCTCGAGTTTTGTGCTTGAAGTTGTCACTTAGGACACATGTTTTGTGCTTGTTGCTCAAGTTTCCCCGACCACCACTACTAAAGTTTTGTTGCTCAACCCTACACGTGCAGCAATAAATCAACTTCTCCCACTCTCGACTGTGCAAAAATACATCATAGAATTAAAATGTAACATTAAATACAATTGTTAAAAACGTATCACGTCTGTTGCCACTTAATGTTTTGATGCATATATAGAATAGTACCCCAAGAGAGGAAATAACTCCAAAGAATCTTGCAGCTCCATTTTAAATTTATTTCCAGCATCTTCGAGAATGCCTTGTTAGAACTTAATACCTTAACTTGGTGAATCATTTACTCCATTATTACCGTACATGTAAATGCGGGTGCACAATAAACAAAACTAGTGATGAAGCATGACATCTGCATCTATTTCAATTGCAATGGTATACGCAATGGGAATATTTCAATAGATGAAATTGATATTTGTTTCTACGAAACAAAATATGTATCTCCCAGACTCACCTAAAGTAGTTGTTCTTTTAATATAGAAATAAGCTTGATGATCTCCAATCATAATGGGAGAATCCTAGCCTGAAGGTTTTATCCATCTTTCTCATGAGAAACGATACAAAATCCTAGCTAATTGAACCAATAAATCGAGAAAGAATTGTCGCAGGTATGCAGAAATTTTAACACCTAGGCCAGTTTTAAACATCAGCCATGCCAGAGTACTAATAGAAACGGGAAGCCCTAATAATCGACTCAAAATCAAGTTTGGGAGAGAGTACTAATCGAAACGGGAAGCCCTAATAATCGAGCAATCCCCAATCAGAGGCAATTGGGCAGCGGCCACCAAAGATAGAGTTTGTGGAGAAGAAAGTAACCCTAATCATTGTTTATTTTTATAATATTCAAAAGAACCTTCTAGATAGTTGAAATTATTTTTTTTGTTACTAAAAAATATATATTTTTATTTATTTATTATACATATTCTACACTCTTCCAAATGTTATAATTCTAGTTGAATTCCTTTTTTTTTTTTTAAATCATATTTATCAAAACTTTCTAGATTGTTAATTTTTTTAAAAAAATATATATATATCTTTTGTTTATTCTAAACTCTTCTAAATATACTGTATTTTATAAAACTTTCTAGATGGTTGAATTTTTTATTTTTATATACTATCTCTTTTATTTATTTATATTAATTAATTCTAGACTCTTCTTCATCTTTTATATCTTTTATGTCACTTGTGTTTTTTGGATATATTTTACTATTATATGTTTTATATATATATATATAGTATAAAAATAATCATCAAAATTTATACAAAAGAAATATCTATTAAGCAAGTAATGAAATGTAACCCAACCTAAAGATTGTAATAAATAGATTCCAATATAATTAAATTTTAGACAACTAATAATTAAATACATGTCCACAGATCACTCCTACAAACACATCACTGTTATATGTGTAATTTCACAAAGACGTATCACCACACACTCCACTCATCTAACCTAATTGCGCCACATTGAGCTTGTCAATCAGCACTTTTTATCACACTTTACATATGAAATATAATCCTCAGGTTCACAATCATTTTTATCCACCGTGTCAGTCAGTTTCTATCCCGTTATATATACATTCAACAACATCCCCATTTATATTGACTTGCATCACAAAAAATATTTGTTTTCAGTTTCTTGGGTTTTTTTTTTTTTTTTTTTTTATGTGTTGCAAGTAATCTATTCTTCAATCAAATTCTATGTTGAATAAACCAAACCAAACAAACAAAAATCGTGCAAACAAATAAACTACATGAGAAAATTCAAAATTAGCGACAAAAAACTGAGAAAATCCAATCCCAATACAGAACTCTATTTTAAATTGAAGAAGACTTGAATATATATTTGTCAATATAGATTAATAATTAGTAAATATACATATAAAGATACAAAATGTATTAATAGTTTTTAAATCACTACAAAAAAATATCAATTTTGTAACAAAGTTTTTTTTGTTCTAAATCCCTTTTTTCCGTTACTAAAGGCATTAGAGGTGGAATTAGAGAGGGAATTGCCTTAACTACATACACTTTAGGAACGAAATTCCGTTACTAATATACTATTTTTTTTTGTAGTGAATATGTCGTTGCTCAATATATAATTTTCAATAATGATGAGTAATCTTGTGCTATAATTTTAATTATTTTTAATATCGGTGTTGTGACTTTACCTTTAACGCTAATTATATTTTAATATCGGTGTTGTGACATTACTGACCTATTTTTGTGTGTGTATGCACTATGGTGCTGCTTCACTTGTCATTTTTATAGCGGTTAAAAAACCGCTACAAATGGTCATTTTTTGTTATAAAAAACTATTTCTAATGATTTTGTACCGGATTTTGTCCGGTGCATATACTCAAGCTACCAAAAAAGTCTTTGTACCAACTTTTTTCGTTACAAAAAGTGGACGGCCAACGCATTTCTTAATCACTTATTGTAACGATTTTTGTAATGCGAACTTTGAATTTTTGATGAATTTGTAACGGATATTTCTCGTAATAAAAGAACCGTTACATTAAATGTTCATCCATTTGTAACGGCACTTGTTACGGTATAATTTTTGTTACAATAGCTTATTGTCAGAAAACTAATCAAAACAACATTAAAAATTTTCGTAACGGTATTTGTAACGACCACAATTTCGTAACAAAAAAAAATATTCTTATTCTTTCAATAAAAACCTGTACGATACGAAAAACATCCCCAAACGACATTACAAAATATAAGAATATTACATGAAATATTAATTGCACTAAGTACGCATTGTTTAGGAACATAACTACTTCGCAATTCGCCTAACATATACGACAAAGCATAAAAACAAACATACAAAAGAAAGTAGAAAATGCAAGTTCAACCAACGGAAAGGAGGTCAACATCAATCCACAAACAAAAGTTAATCATCATAGAATCACGGGCCACACCGCCACACCCCATGCAGCGTCAAATTGGCAGTTACGGGCGACGAACAAGCTGCAAACATAGTGCAAAAGTATATAATAATTTAGTTGAGATGGAGCCTATCTCGATGACACAAATGTAAAAACAACAAAGAGCGCCCGGTTCACCAGGTTCTACCACTGCAGTGCCCAATCATAGTCAAAAGAAGAGTTTGATCCTGGCTCAGAAGGCTGATCGTATTACTACAGAGTCAACTTGAACAAGTATAATTTGACCCGATTTTAGGTGTATAGAACAACATAAATAGAATTATAGCATGGACCCTATCTTGACGACACCCGGACCAACATCAATACAATGACACAATTATAGAACAACCAACAGTATAATCAATTTATTTGATGCATGTAAAATCTGTTTGTTTAAACAATCAACTTAAACATGTATCGATTCAACAACAACATTTAATTGAGTGCAAATGTATCCAAATACCAAACACTTTGAATTATAACAAAAAGCAAAGCGGTTGGGGGATAAAATCAATTCACCCACCAACATCTACAATAATCTTTAATTATAAACATATATGCTCCCCAACAAGACCATATGGAACAAACAGTTTCCGGCTGAGTGAACATTTTCCATCTACCATTTCAATCCAACCTCGAGGTTTCACCCAATAATAGCCAACCAGTCATCTTTGTCATTTCTCAAACTGGGGAATGAAATATAGCTGACTTGGGTAGCTTGCATCCTAAGTATGAAAGGTTCATAACTGCGTAACAGTACTCATGCTGCACTTATGTTTTGGAGAAAAAACAAATTTTTAGAAAGAATTTCAAAAATATTTATGAGCAAGAATGGTTATTAGAGAAAATAAATACACCAAGCTAAATTGGATTTCTCTCGTAAGCATGCAATACACATTTTGATCAAATATAATTTAGTAAAACAACAATTATTCTCAACATATTCAAAAGCTAATTTCAATACATACAACCATTGTAAGTAGAATCTGAAACAAATTTAAATCAAATATTTAGCCGTAGATTTGCAGACAAGTAATGTCCCAGCTAATTTAAACTATAAATTATGAGGGAAATTAATACATTAATAAAGAAAAAAAATATATATGTAGTGAACATTAAATGATATGAACAAGAGCAGACATAACTAGGGATGAGAAGAAAATGAGAATCTACAACAGGAATACAATAGTTCATCAGTCATGTTATTTTTCCAAATGCCCGATTCCAATCCAGGATCCTACCTACAATGTAATCTATAAACAGCCCACACACAAACATCCACGCATAATAAATAAATAAATGACTATTAGATTAGACTATTATTATGCAGAGCACCAAATACACAACTATTCAAGTCAAGAATAGTTTTAATTGTGAAGCAAACAAAAGACACAAATGATTTATTTGTGCAGCAAACAACGCATTCAAAATATGTATTACAAAACAAATGGATTATAAATTGAAACAGGGGGTTTCTTTAGAATTATTTGATAAAAATTTATATTATATGGATACAATGTTAATAAGCACTGGAACGAGTAATTTTCCATTACCATTGAAGCCGGGAAATTGAACAGCTCCACCATTCACTAGACATACTTAACAAATTCCATCCATGGAAACCTGAGAAAACAACCAAAAACTACTACTCATGACATGGTTGATCCACACATGTCTTGATTCGAATCATAAAGTTACTCACAACTAAAACAAAAAGCTTTTAACTGTATTATTTCAGAAAGAAAAGTTTTAATTGGAATGTATTTTGCTCCAACATTCATAACAATGAGATAAAGAGTGCAAACACTACAATTGGAAACCTTCGAGGGATGCCAAAAAATACAGCATCCTATGAGAGATTTCAGGAACTCGAAAAGGTATGCAATTTGTATCATTGAGCTAACCACCACCCAAAAAAATAAACTCATAAATTAACACCAACACAAACAAACAATAAAGTAAATAAAAAAAACAACCTGGATCATGAAAAAATCAACACGAAAATGCCAAATTAAACAGATTCAAAGCTAGAGAAGGCTTCACCAAGTCTCATTTTTTCAAAATAACGGAAGCTGCGATCGTCACCCAACATTTAGCAAAATAACAAAACAAAAAGAGCAGTGGCACAAAAGAAAATACTACTAAAATTGCCTCAATACAATAAACTAAAACAATAGAATGAAGAAATCATATAAAACGTGGCTTACTGTCGGCGGGCAGGGGCAGCTCGCAGTCGACGAGTCAAGAAAGGCCGCAGCGGAGCACGGTCGACGGTCGACGGTCGAGAAAGGCGGAGGCGGCGCGGTTCAGGGGTGCGGTACGGATAACTTAAAAGAAGGAAAATGAGAAAGTACGGGAAGAAAAAGAAAAGTGAAAAAGAAAAAAGATGAAAGAATGAAGAAGCAGGAGAACGAACAAGACGAACAAAGAACGAACAGAGGAGAGGAAGAAGCGGATGCAGGATGGGGCGTGTCTAGGGTTTCTTTAGAAGTCTCAATTTTAATTCTACTTTTTAATTGTATATAATAATTTTAATTTTAAATAAACAGTTATTTTAATTTCAGTTAGTATATATTTTAATTTTAAATATTTTTGTGTTGTACACTTTCAAAGGTGTAAAAATACTTTACTTTTCAATCCTTTAACTGTCATAACATTTTTTTGCTAAGCCCATCTCTAAGTAATTAATGTAATAACTAAGAACACCTAACATATTTTAGTTGACAATGATGCATAGAACAATTGCAAATATGCACATAACAGTTGCAGATCTAAAATATTGCGTGCAAATAGATGGATTAAGCAGCAAATTCAAATTCACATACATCATTAGGTACTGTTACATAGGTCGTAGCTTTAATTTTACGATATTTATTCTAACATTGTATATGAAACTCATTATACTCCGAATCTATATGCTCATAACAAAACAAAATATAGATATATTCTTACATATCCAAAGAATGCAGAGCACGTCCCAGACTCACCTCGAGTGGTGTCATCACCTTATTGATCATCGATTTCTATTTATTAAACTTGCAATTTATATGAATGTATCGATGAAAAATGTGATGCCGTAATTAATACTCCTTGACGTGGAGCTTTGTCTTCAAATGCAGATGCCTAAACCTGACAGACGTGACTTCACTGAGGATTCCTCGGCCATTTTTGCGTCATTTGCAAATTAATTGATTAATTAAGATTTTTGTAAACAGAAATTAGTTGTATATATATATATATATTTATTTATATTTTCCATCAATTTAATTAGTCCTGGAGCATGTAGTCTCGAGTCATTATCAAAAGATGGCCTTAGCCATATATATCTTTCTACGTTAGAGCCATTTCATATGGGCCAAGGTCAGGACACCGACTGCCCAAATCAGCGCTAATGTTACCTCAACCCGCGAAGTTGTCATTCGAACAACCAAATTATGGATAAAGCATCATAGTAATCATCAAATTTAAACCGGTAGCAACCCCTTGCCAAAAGATATATGTTTCTGACGAAATTGTAATTGTCTAGCTTGCAAACATACTCGAGCAGGATCATCCCTCAAACATAATCTTACAACTTTGTCCTCACATTATTCGCTCAATACTAGCAATAACAAAGAGTACATTGCCATTATGGATCATTTTTATTTTTTCAAAAGACAGTTGATTTTCATTGAGGTTTTTGCGTTTGTTCTGGTTAGATTTACGGACACCACGACCACATCACAACTAACATTTCTGCTGCATTAGTAGAAATCTCATCCCTTGTTTGTGCCTTTTCAGTTTTTAAAGATGGCACCTGTAAGTCATATGGAACATTCCGTTCGATGAATCGATTATCGTCATCGTGTCACTCTCCATGGACGCTGGAGCTTGGAGGTCTATATCCAACGGCGCCTTAACACTGACCCTTTCTCTACTAGACTCTGCTACCTGAAGATCTTTGCAATCATTAGCAGAGGAGTTCTAATCAATGAAGACTCGCGCGGACACAGGCACCCTGATCTTATTTCTCCAGATTACCGACATTCAGTTCGTCAGCAGAAACCTGATCTGGTTCGCAGGCTATGTTTATGTCGATCATTCTCTCCAATCTTTCAATGTTAGCATTCTTCCCTTTAGGCTGGGAATCAAAGTTTTCTGAAGTCGAAGCAATGGATGACAGCTTGATTTCTGGAACAACCGTTTCAAATATGGGGAACCCAAGACGCTGCTTCACTGTTCGAGTCTCAGCCTCAACGATCTCCTTTTTTCCTGCACTTTCGGAGCCACTTGAAACCAATGCACTCTTCAGAGTAAAATACTGATAGAGATCCCCAGCATTCAGATTAACACGAGTCAGATTATCTTTTCTGTCCTTGTTAAGATCTTGCATGATCACAACCTCGTCTGAATTTTGCAACACAAAAAGTTTAGGCTTACCATCCAATCCAGTCAATGCTTTAAATATTCGTTGAAATATTTCCTTCATACCCAAAATCAAGATCAGTCCACTCAGACAAATGAAGAAATATGCTCCAAAGTCAAGATATATTTCCAATCTCCAGCGGAATCCTAATTCAACTTCTCTTATTTCATCTCTCCAACAAAAGTATAAAAAACCAAAAAAATAAAATAAAAACAAGAAAATCAACTATTCATGAGGACATTGAAAATGAAACCAGCAAATTCAAATAGATAACCCTAATCCGGAGAGAGTGTGTGAAAAAGAAGTAGGGGCGGACGGATTTATGGGAAGACGAAAGAACGAAACCCTAATCATCACTTTCATTCTCTTACTTTATTATGGTTCCCATTATCCTTCCCGGTTTATGTATTTTTATAACGTTGAAAAGAAGTTTCTAGATATTTTATATTTTTTTCATGCTTTATAATATTTATTTATTTATGTCACTTTATTCTAGATTCTTCTAGTCACTTAAACAATAATAATAATAATAACAATAATAATAATAATAATTATTATTATTATTTACTTTTATATAAATAACAATAACAATAGAGTAACTTCAATTTTGAAATTATCCGTTCATCGAAATAATCTAATATACTTTTTTACCTAATTTTTTTATTACTTTCAAATCACCTAAAAGTTTCAAATCACACGGGTGGAGGTACACTACCAAAAAATCCACTATTTGTAGTTGTTACACTGTTCGTAACAATTGGTCTTTTACAAAAAGTGGGTTTTGTTATGCTTTTTGTTGGAACAAATTTTTTTATATTGGTCAACATTTTTTTATTTGTTTCGACAAATTATCCGCAACAACTATAATTATGACGAGATAAGGTTTTATATATATTTATTACATATGCCAAACCGTAACAAAAAGTCAATATTATAATTATAAATAAAATAAAAATAAATATATATTATATAAGTTTAAAAAAATATATATTAAAAAATAATAAAATTTGAAAAGAGTGGCTCACACTTTAACAAAATTCCCAGCAGACTCCCTATACTCACAGCGAAGCTCGTCGACGTTGTACTCCGCCCTCTGCTCTACCGTCGCTGGTCAAAGCTTGTGCTTCTCCTAGTTATTGGTGGTGTGAATCTTCCTGCCCACGATGTTATTCTCACGATATTGAAGAGTTATTAATAACCTAGGAGTTTTATTGTATAACTATGAAAATTGATTTTTAGGTTTTTAGTGTTCTTAGTTGTTGGATGATCTTCTTGTAGAAATTAAAGGGTAAATTGTGAGTTTGTATTTCTAATTTTCTTAGATAAATAAGGTGCATAGGTTTGTACCAATAGGTTTTCTTAAATTGAGTGTCTCATAATTGAATAATACTCATTTCGTCTATATTCATTTGTAGAATTAAGTTATTGAACAACGAGGTGGTGTACTTATGACTGTTCGAAAATCAAATATTAGGTAATATACGTAATTGGGTTTTTTGAATTTTTGTTCTTGTAATATTTTATTATTTGTGATTTCATAAATAACATTGGTAAAGTGTTTTTTCAATGTTTTGATAGTTTTTAAAGTGTGTAAAGTAATAGAAAAATCTTAAGCCTTCGTTGATCATTCCAATAAGAGCGGCTATTTTATCATTACTAATAATATATAAGATATTATTATATGTTAATTTAAATAAATGATTAAAAATATATGGATAAATATATATACGAAACAAAAACAATGAATCGTACTGTATTTGGAAAACAGTTTTTGGAAACACGGTATATATCTCAATATTTCAGATTACCTTTTTTATTAAATTTTTTTTATTCCGTATTTGCCTTTAAAATTAATTAATTTTTTCATATATATTAATATATTTTTTATTATACTATTTATTAGATATTTGAATATTTTCTTCTAAAAACATATGAATTCACTTTTATAAAAATTTGTAAATTTGTTAAAATAAAGATAGAAAAAAGTATTAATATTATTAATTCATATATATATATTTTTTATCACATAAATTTTTATTAAAAATGAATATATTTATTTAAAATTATAAGTTTAACAAAAATAAATATTAATTAAAAAGTATTATAATAAAAATACATATACTAATAATTTTTATTTTTTTGTTTATACTATATTTAATGAAAAAAATATATTTTTCAATAAAATTACATTATTTTTTACAAAATATTTAAAAAATAGTAAAAATAAATATTATAAAAAAGTCTACCCACCGAAAAGCTTAACTAAATATTTTTAGAAGATATAAAATATCCTTAGTTGAAATTCTACGTATAAACAACTAATACAAAACTGCTGTTTTACCAAATACTTTAGCAAAAACAGCTAATATATTCAGCTAAACAAGCTAATCGAATAAGCTAACAACTAAAAACTAACGCTTAATTGCGAAACATTCCCTAATCCACTATTGCATGATATAAAAAGTAAAGAAGAATCTAGAATAAATTAGCATAAATAAGTAAAGATAAATAAATATTAGAAAACATTAAAAAAATATTGAAAATCTAGAAACTTCGTTTCAACATTATTAAAATAGGAAAACCGTGAAGGAGAAGAGCACAACATAATTGAACCGTTGACAAGGCTTTTCTTCTTTCTTCTTCCTAGAATCCCCCGAGCCCTCTTTCTCTTTCACATACTTGCGATTAGGATTTTCTGTTCAGATTTGGCTTGCATTACTTCTATGTTGTTGACATTCTTGTTTTAGTTTATTATTTAAAGAAAATAACAGCAGAGATATTAAGTTTTCTAAATAATAATTCACACAACATTCCAACTAAATGGTCACGAAATACCGCGTTGAAAAGGTATCAATGTTACAATATCTTTACGTTGTTAGCACTTGAGTGGTAAACTATTTTAAATCAACACTAGATATGCAACATTTATTGTTCAAGAATAAATAAATTTTTTAACAAATATCATGGATATCACAAACATCATACTTGAAATTATATCTATGATGTTCCATACAAGAAGCAAACAATAGTAGAAGTTGAATTGA